CAAGGATAGAAAATTTGTCCTTGAACCATTCAAACCCACCAATGAGGTGTGATAGGTGGCAAGCCTACGACCTAGGTTACCATTGTACAATTGTTCTTTTCTAATCCGCCAATTACGAACCAATGATGCGACAAGCCGAAATTTGACAATTCAATAAAAATATAAATGTTTCGCGTAGAAATTCAGCCGATTGTGTAAGGAACAACAACAACTCGAGACAAAGTCCCAACAAGTAGTGTTTTATTGATGAAGATTACAATGTGGACGAAACAAAATGCCTCTAAGAGGTGAAAGCACATGAATACTAGAAGGAAATTATTGAAAGTTAAATAACAAATGAAATTACATAGTTCTCTATTTGAGAATTGGTTTGATCTTTTTTCCTCGTAGATTTTTCTCTCTCTTTTATACTCATTTGACAGTTTCTCTTGTAAAATTGTTTGGGAACTCCTGAAAACTACCAATCATCTTGTAACTATCCACTTTCTCCATCGTGAATGACTTACTGTTTTCAACCACTGCCATTACTCCAACTCTTAACTTTTTGCAATCGAGATTCTTGGATCGTAGAATGTGATAAGATTACCCATTAACTACTTTAATAACCGTTTCTTCGAACAATAACCAAAACACTATATTTGACCAGATTTTGAGCGTCATACAAGCCTGAGCGATGACAGGCTCGCTCAGATCTTAGGTGTCTCATAGGTTTGGGTGATGATGGGCCTCTATAAGCTTGAGCAATGATGGAGCTCCATTACATAACTCCATCTTGGGTTTGGGTCCATCCTTCGAATTTCCTAACTGGGCTTCATTCTTTGGACCATTTAATTGGACCTCATTTTTGTATGTCGACAATTACCCCCGAATATGACAAAATTAATATCAAGTATTAGTCTTATGCCATATTCTTCCATTGTATTTTCTGGCAATACTTGAATTCCCAAAAAGGGCGAATAATCCCAATCATCATTTTCGTTTGGTGGTAACCTTCTAAATCCTAAAAAGTGTAACATCATGTAACTCGTATAAACTAAAGGACACGCCATTTCATCTCGCCATTATACCCACGTCTTTGCATCGCTCGCTTATCTTTCCCCATAAAAATCAATGTTCATCTTTTTGCTTCCCTTCTACACTTCTCACAATCCCTCATGAAAACTGTACTTTGCAGCAAATGGCGACTCCACAAAGCCCTTCCGACAACTCCATTAGTTTCGAAGACTTCCAAAACCTCCTCACAAAGCTGTATATCAATTCTGTTTCCCTTTCACCAGCCAACCCTGACCTTCATGAACTCTACTTAGGCCCGTCATTTAATGATGTTGAATCAGTTGGGCAAGCAACAATGAGTCAGCTATTCCCCTGTACTCAAGATCCTACTTTTCTGAACTCTTCACCGTTGAAGCCAATATTCGAAAAAGGTATTCGCACTTGGCCCAAAACTGATACTACTTTTCATATGTGGCATGCACGTATGGTAATTTTTATTTTGACAATATTTAGACAATTATTACCGTTAGCCTGAGTATTTCCACCATCATTAAAACGCGGGACGTTCTGTCCATTGGTTTGGACATTATCTCTTACATTTAGATTACCCCCCAAGTTTGATATTCCATTCCACTATTCAAATTTGCAATTCCACCGCCCCACTGGTTTGAAGTGGACGGTCCAAAAGGTGGTTCTATTACTTGATTCGGACTTGGGACTGGAGAATTATGTCCGACAATTATCCTGGCTTGGAAACATGGCATAACTGGTTGACAAATTTGACCACCTAACTTATTCATGATTTCATTTAAGGTGTTTAATTGTTTGGCCATGTTTTCATAATGTACATTTCCATTTTGAACAAATATTTCCATGGTTTGAACATTCTGTAAATTTACCTATTCAACAACGTCGTGCGTGAGCTCCCCAAACAATGCATGCATGGTCCGAGGACTTGATGTAGGAGAAGATTATAGGAAAGACAAAAATCTACACAAAAAGAATTTCAACGAAGAGAAATTCAGGAAAACTTTATTTCATTCAAAATTGGGTTGCCTCAAAGGGCTTACAAAGTTTAAATAGCAAAAAACTGNACCTCAAAGGGTTTACAACGTTTAAATAGCGAAAAATCTAAGAAAATTCGGAAAAATTACATAATAATGAGAAAATATTATTTTTTCAAAAAATGGAAAAAATTGAGTAATGACGGATCTTGATTCTCCTAATCACTAGGATCATCCTCTAACAAACGAAAATAAAAATCGAGTTTATTTGACTAAGATATTGTAAAAATAAAAATTACCATAAACGGCAAAATCGCTTAATTGAAGGCTTAAACGACGGAATCTGCCCAAAATCTGACGTGCTTCAGAGCCCAAGGCCCTGAGTTGTGAACATTGCCCTGTTTTTCATGTAATTAGATTAGCAATTCACCAAAAACATACAAACCCGAAATTAAATGGAATTATTATTTTGCCTTCATCATTCTCCCCGATTTGAGAAAAAATCGCCCTCGACTTTGACGGGGAAGAAATCTTATCATCATCAGAATTATCACCACGAAATGGAAGCTCAATGGCAATCCATCTGTAAGCTCTTCTGGGAAGTCCTCATGAAACTCCTCTAACAATGGCTGAGTCCTACAAGTGACATCCTGCTCACTGTCAACAGACTTTTCCAACAGCACAACATACACTACCCCACATCCTTCCATATTTGTCTCGAACTTCACTCTGGTCAGTAAATTGGTGTCATCTCCAACTGTTTTTACTGAGCCCTTATTTGGTCAGTAAATTGGTGACATCCCCAACTATTGTTACTGAGCCCTTATCTGGAAGTAACATACTTTTCTTTTCCCCAATAGTACACGTCGACTGGAAGAGACTAGTACGCAATCAGTCAGTGTTATTTTTTAGGAAAGTTAGAAAACTCCGCCTCAGCACAAATGCCCGACCCACATCACCAACCAAAAACTCCTCATTCTCTGCTACTTCTTCTACACTTTCACTGTCAAATACTGGCGGACCGTATTAATCAAACTCTTCCTCCTCTATTGCTTTTTCAGTGTCTTCATTGTCAAATACATGTGGATATTCATAATCAAACTTTTCCTCCTTTGTTGCTTCTTCAATGTCTTCATTTTCAAATACAGG